CTCTTAGTTGAGAGTATTGATATAGGACTGGTCAATACAGGTGTGGTTGAAAAACATGAACAATTCTGGGTTTGGTTGATGGATATCAATTAATCGTGGACAACTTGGAGCATGATGCACTAGAAAAGTAATACACTACCAAGGTTCATAATCCTAAAAGTATTTGACGATATGACTAATTCGACCTATAGTACAGGACGAGTAGATGCTTGACTTGAGGTATAGATATAGACACGTCAATATTTAATGATAAACAATATTTTTATTATACGCATGACATTCACATTTCCAACCCATCCGAAGCGGACTACCGCGTGTAAAACCATGGACATCCGCCTTGGATAACATACATAAGACATGAAACACATCCAAATAACGCCGAGCCTGCATGAACGTGAAGATAGGAGAGTAAAGAAAGAAAGTATTATAGCATCAGAATCTGATGCTTGGCAAGAGTGGGAAGGTCAGTATAAGGATATCTAGGAGTCGAAGAGAAGGGGTCATAGCATGGAAAGGGGAATCATTGAGACAAAATGAAAAGGAGACAAGAGTCGAGGGTGAAATGATTTAGAAATCCTCGTCGAATCGGAAAGCGCCGCCGTTTTCGGGTTCTTCAGAAGAGTCCTCTTCCTTCTTGGTACTGGCCATGACACCAGCTTTCTGGTAATCTCCAACACGCTTCTCAAAGAAGTTGGTCTTGCCAGCAAGGGAGATGTTGTCCATGAAGTCGAAGGGGTTGGTGGTGTTGTAGAACTTCTTGTTACCAAGAGCAACGAGAAGTCTATCGGCAACGAACTCAATGTACTGGCACATGAGCTTAGCGTTCATGCCGAGAAGGGCACAGGGGAGGGCATCAGTCAAGAACTCCTGCTCGATGGTGACTGCTTCAGTGATGATGGCCTCTACGGCACTGGGGTCGGGACGATAGTTGAGGTGAGAGAACAGAAGGCAGGCAAAATCAGTGTGGAGACCTTCATCACGGGAGATAAGTTCGTTGGAGAAGGTGAGTCCGGGCATGAGACCACGCTTCTTCAGCCAGAATATGGAGGCGAAGGAACCGCTGAAGAAAATACCCTCGACAGCAGCAAAGGCAACAAGGCGCTGTGCGAAGGTGGAATCCTTATCTTGGATCCATCGGATGGCCCAATCAGCCTTCTTGCGGATGCATGGAACTACGGGTTATTAGCTCTTGCCTCCAAGGTTAGGGGAAGGTGGACAGAGTAACATACTTGTATCAATAGCTTCGAAAAGGTAGGTTCGTTGCTTCTGTTCCTTAATATATGTGTCGATGAGGAGAGAGTATGTTTCGGAGTGAATGTTTTCCATCATGATCTGGAAGCCATAGAAGCATCGAGCTTCCGGTACCTGGACTTCGTTGCTGAAACGTTCAAGGAGGTTCTCATTAACGATGCCATCGGAGGCGGCGAAGAAAGCCAGGACGTGGGAGATAAAGAATCGTTCATCGTCATTGAGCCTGTTGTTCCAGTCGTGAATATCCTTGGAGAGATCAATCTCTTCGGCAGTCCAGAAAGAAGCTTCAGCTTTCTTGTACATTTGCCAGATCTGATAAGATAACGCGTTAGTCCTCAGTAACACTTTAACACGTAACGCGTCGGGTAGGGTTCCTAGCATACCTCGCGGTATTTGATCGGGAAAAGAACAAAACGCTGAGGATTCTCCTGGAGGAGGGGCTCCTCTGCCTCCAGCTCCTTGGGCGTCTTGGGTTTGACAACCTGGGTCTCAGCAGGCTTTGAGGCCTCAATCTCGACCTTCTTCAGCTCTGGCTCAGCAACATGCGAAGAGACAGGAACATTCTCCTTGTCCGCGTGGTCCAACTTGAGGGGCTTGATAGGCGAGTCGTTCATCTTGAGCTTCTCCAGGGAGGAAGCAGTCTATATCAAGCCATAGCAAGGCGCGTCAGTAAACCACTTAAACACGCGTATATTGAAGGGATATCAGCGGCATACCTGCTTCGAAGGGGTGGACTGAGTGGCCATTGTGACTGCTGGCGTGTTTTTCCCGAGTGGCTCAAAGGCAAACAAGAGAACGAGGCGTGGTTATCGTGGTGTTGTTGATGGGAGTTGGAGGAGTGGAAGAAAGAGAGTGAAAGCTTTCTCCTTCGCCTTCAAATACTTTTTTGCCTGGAGTCGCGCTAAATCACGCGATCACGCGCTGGAGCGCGATTGCTTAGTCATAATGATTGTTTGTCATGTTTGCACGACGCGTTATCTTATCTGATTGAAATCTCCGCTTTTAGCTCGCGTTATCCCAGCCGCAGTTGCTGCAGCCCAACATGCAAGACGCACACCAAGGCTCGCACCAAGATGCGCTAGCATGGGCGCCAGGAACAAGGCTGGGCCAGTCACAGCGGAGGAGCGATTGTTGACGGCCCCTTCCTCACGTTTCCACCAGACAATTTCTACGTGTGAGTGGCTGATCAGACCTTGTTTACGCAGGATCCTCCTCTGGACGCGACTTGCTTTCGAAACTATCAACTGGCTTTCAGCATGGGCAATCATATCATAGCCTGGCGGTTCCGCCTTATCCGCCATAGCCTGTTTCTTGTGCTGGGCTGTCGGAAGTTTTGGTTCCATTTCCATTATCGCCGAGTAATGGTGAGACATCAGACGATACGCCAGGCTTTGCTGCGCTCATTATATCGTTTTATTATATCCGACATCCCGTCTTGCCCAAGGTCTAAATACCACTGTTGCCACCCTTTCTACCATGCAACGCGCCGTTCGCGTCCCGAGAACGCGGGCGAATTTAGAATTATGTACGGAGTAGCTGAACCTGGCCACCCCCTGCATTCAGCTCTGTTGAAATTACAGAGTATAAAGAGCAGACGACAACGCTCGCGAAAGAACCATTATTGCCAGCAAAATACCACTTCCATCCCCCCCTTTTTTTTTTTCAGTATTTATTCTCTAATACGAAACTATTATTATCCCGTCTATATTGTCCTCCAAGAAATCTAGTTTGATGAAACGCTTGCCCGGAAGAAGCATACAGTCTATATATACATAACGGAAATGTGAATATACAGAAGTGATAAAACCACTTATATCCAAGCCTTCACGGATTCTGGTAGGAATGTATCTTCGGCTTTGCGCATGATCTTGGTGCATTGTTCCATGAATGTAAGTGTCAAAACCTAGGTGAATGTCATGTTAGAATATATATTTCAAAGTGTGGGAAGTAGTATGGTAATGACCTACCGTATGAGGGACTACACGGGCCAGATGAGCCGAGACACCCTTGTAAATGGCGAACAGACCTTCAGCCTTGATCGTCTTCTTGACACAGTCAAAGACGCCATTGTAAAGGTTGCCGCTTTGATTGTACATTCTGGACATGATAGTGTCTGGAGGGTGCATGGCAATACAAACAACAACACCACTGACAGCACTGCTGGTAAGGTGAAGTGGGAGCCCCTCTTCCATTCCGAGATGGCGTATCAAGTTTCGCTTGGCGAAAAAGTATGTAGGTAGTTGAACAGAGCTACCGAAACCAGTTCGGATCATGGAGGCCATGGCGCCACGGTATAGTCCTGGTACTCCTTCGCTAGCGAAGATCTTTCGTAACCCATCCGTTGAGCCTTTGTAATTGTGTTGTGTGCCAACTGGAAGAATTGGAGAGTAAGACTGCAGCCTTGTCTTAACTAGAAAAAACGGGGAGGCAACAGCAGCGCCGATAACTCCGGAAGTAGCTCCGGAGAAAACATTGATAGCCATTGATTGCGTTTTGGGGTCATCGTAGAAAGAGGTGGTGAGACTTTTGCGAATAGGTTCGTAAAAGGAAAGCCGACAACCATTCAGCAGAAGTTGGTATGTATACTGCATATACAGATTTGGATCAGCTACCATCTTGCTGCGGGTATATCTTTGAGTATAGCTCATACCGCTGCGTCAAGACCACGGAGTAGACCTCGCGGACCTTCGTTCCTTAGAATGACGGTTATTCCATGGAACACACCCTTATATTGCCTGGCAACATTGTTCTTTGCTTGTAGCTCTCCTTGCAATTGTAATCTTTTCCGCCTTGTGTTAGCTTCCGCGGACTCCAACGAGCAATTGGGGTAACAGCCGGCATATTACCGAATCTTGACAGTCTCAAAGCTGTGTGTCAGGGTGACGGCACCACAAGCGGCCAGACCACCAGCAAGAAATGCTCTATATTAAAATAGAAGGTAAGCTAGTGGAATCAAATGTTGATTCTTGATAACAGACCTACCCGGTAGCGGTGGACATCGTTGTTCCTTACACCCGGTATCTTTCTCACGGGGAAATTGGACAAAAAATACGGGGAGATTGAGCGGAGAGGGTCTTCGAATGGGGATGAAAAAGGCGAATTATTAGCAAGTAACTCGCAAAGACATCGACATAGTTCCTTATTCCGCTCAATGGCAGTATCAACGGGTAAGCAGAGAAAGTGCCCGGGTCAGAAGGACAAGACGACGGGAATGTCAACACTTTAAAATCGGCCTTCTCAATTGAAAATTCCAGCGTATCAGATTGTCTTAATAATAAGGTTTTATGGGGCTGTTTCGGAATATGGAGCAACATTAATACGGTAATTACATAATCGGATTTTCAGCCAGTTCCAATCTGTCAAAACTCAAACTTCTATCGAGCTATCAAAACACCAAAGCAGCACAAAGCCAAACGGAAGCACCAATAGTTTGCGTGCTTGCTTTGGATACACAGATATTTGAGACGTGGTGAATATGGCGGAAACAACAGCAACTCCCGCACAGCCGGTAGAGAAGGTATCGGATGTCATAAAAAATTATAGGCCCGCGAAGGTAAGTTAATAGCTACAAGAAGCATTTGGGGAAGGTCGCACATAGTTAACAATTGACGGTTTTTCTTTCCAGGCATTCAGGGGAAATCCAAAGGCTGATAAACAGGTTAATGTAACCTCACTAGACTTCGACGATCAGGGTGACTATCTAGTTGCGTCCGGCGAGGATGAAATGATCCAAGTTTTCGACGTAAAGGAGGGGAAATCCACGAAAACTGTTCCCAGCAAGAAATACGGCGTACATCTTGCTAGATTCACTCATCACTCACGGCAGATCCTTCATGCTAGTACAAAACTTGATGGTGTGTACTCCATGCTTGCTTATCTGGATTGGCGTGCTGATGGAAGCTAGATTCACTCCGACTGCTCGATCTTCACAACGAAAGCTACCTTCGGTATTTCACGGGCCATACAGATAAAGTGGTTTCCCTTGCGGTATCTCCAGGGACCGACGCATTTCTATCCTGCTCGAAAGATGATACCGTTGCTTTTTGGGACCTTAATTCCAGGAATGCTCAGGGTAAACTTAAGTTGGCTACTCCGTACCTTGCGGCCTTTGATCCATCCGGAAGTGTCATTGCTATCGCTTCACAATCCACTTCATTTGTTCTACTCTATGATTTCCGGAACTATGACAAGGCGCCCTTCGCATCCTTTGATCTCTCCCCTCTTGAAGACCGATATACCCCAACAACTAAAGGGCGTGCCTGGACGCGCCTGGAATTCTCAAATGATGGAAAAAGCTTGCTAATCGGAACTGATTACCACGGTCATTTTGCTCTTGATGCCTTTGAGGGCAATCTTAAGGCATTTTTGGTTGGGAAACATGGACCAACCGGCCGGGCCGCCCCAGTTTCTACAACTGGGAAGCCTCCCGGTCAGGGCGATGTATGCCTCACTCCTGATGGTAGATATGCGATAGGAGGCGCAGGAGAGCAGCCAGACACATTGGTCTGGGACCTACATCAATCTCCAGATGCGAAATTACTCCTCGAACCCATGACCCGCTTACCTTACTACCGAGCACGCACTACACTAGTCCAGGCGAACCCTCGATACAATATGTTTGCAACTGCGGATAAGGAAATTGTTTTCTGGCTTCCAGAGGACCCTACTAAGATGGCTGAAAAATGAGCAATGTGTGACATGATTGGTCATCGTATACCGCTGTTTTAGAACGCTACCAATACATCTATAACATCTATATTGCTCTGCTGCTGTCTTTACCAATCAGACTGCGAGCAGTATCACACACCCACACTGTCGGACCGCAGACCTCATCGTCGTCTCCACGCTCCTCCTCCACCCAGGTCTCGATCTGTTTTACCACAGTTCGGTTACTTGATATAGTTGTTAACCCGGCAGCCCATCCATATAGGAACACGCTCCGATTGATATCGCTCAATTTTTGCGCAATCTTGCATGCAATAGATGGAAGAGAGTCGTCTTTCCAGCCACGGTCAATGTCATCCTGAGCGTCCACCACTTTGATGGGCAGTTTCCATTCTAACGGGATGGTATAATCGGACAGCTTTTGAAACTGAGATACGAGGGCCTCTCTATCTGAAGCATCGTCTGCCTCCCCCATTAGCAGCCTAGTACGCTCCTTTTCTCTGGGTGTCCCTATTGTGTCCACAATCTCTCTCATTCTTTTAGCTGCCCTTGTTGTGCAGACGAGGTTCCTGTCTCCCGCGGCAGGCCATAGCTCAGACAACAGTAGTGGTTTCTCTGCTTCAAGCTCGATCTGACGGTTAATTGCTGGATGGTATGAGGGCATGCATCTGAGATCTCGTGCGTGAGAGAGATCGGACACAAATGCCAACAATAAAGTGCAATCGACGTTCAAGGTTGACGTCATCGGTGGGAATGGGCTCGGAAGAAGAGATGAAAACATGGAGCCTGCATCATCAGTGTTGTTGACAGGTCCGCTCTTATTTACCATGAAGTCAAGACCAGAGGTCTCGGCGGTAGCGCATTCGACAGTAACGCCAACCATACGGACTTTACGAATAACCTTATCAATTTCCGCAATTTGTCCTTCCACGATTTTAGGTAGGACCAGCCTGACACGGGGATGCTTATACCTGACCCGGACCTCCGCGGCAGCTTTCTTCATGTCAACAGCCAGCTTTAGCAATTCAATCATGTCATCTTCGTCTTCACTATCATAGTCGTTCTTGCCAGATGTCGATGCGGTATTACTCCCTTCATTATCCTCTGAGTCTGAATTTAATCCGATCTCCCATCCCTGTTTTGCAAGGTCACATAGCAGCCTATTCGGTGTGACGGTGGATACTTTAACCCACTCCTGGCCATTATCAGCTACAATGTCAATTAAAACACCTCGCTTGCGCATTTTAGGAACCGTTTCTTCCACCCCTGGCTTGGAGTTGGATTTAATTTTTAGATCATCAATGTCCACTTCTAGATCTTTATAATCCCCCTGCATACATTGACCTTTCACAGGTTTGTAGAAGTAAAACTTCTTGTTGAGAGATATAAGTCCGGTACAGGTTGTCTTTGCAGTTCTCCAAACGTTGGCGTAAAATGGGAAATTAGACGACCTCAACGAATGCACCACTTTTAATTCAGCCTGGCCTAGATATTCTTCATCGCTATCCTCGACGTCCTTTTCGTGACCCCTGTTTTGCTCTGGTGCCCTGATATTTGCCGTATACTGCGGAGTTCCAGGGGCGTCCTCCGCGTCTTCGGCAGCAGCCTCGTCCGCCCTTGCAGCCAGTCTTTGCAGTGATTTCAGCTCTGATTGAACGATGGATTTGAATTGCCGTAGCTCAAC